TGTGATTAGGAAACTGAGTTGCATACAGGATGAGCAATTCTGATGGCACGCAGGGAGGGTGAGGGTGCAGCAACAGAGATCAGCTAGACTGCCTGTCGTCACAATGACACCCAGCACTGTTCCTGCACACTTGCCCAGCACAGGAAACGGGCTGATGGAGTGAGCACCTGGCTTTTGTAGTTGTTCAAACAGATAATGAACTGGTTTGGTGTTTCATTTGTTTTCAGGTTTGGTTTTTGATTTCGAATGAAGTTGTTAAATAAATACAAGTCAAATTTCAACAAACTGCTCGAGCCTGTTTCATACTTTATCTTACTTTCCCTACCAAAGGCCCCTTCTCTATACCTGTTTCATAGTGTGAACTATAGATTTGGCTTGATTCAGCCTGCAGTAGATCCACTATCATCAGAGCAGTGTTATTTGAGTTCTAGACTAGGATGGTCTTCTGTTTCCAATGTACAGATTTTTATCCCTTCCTTCCATTCACTGTGCCTAAGGGGCAGTGCATTCTGGAGAAGTTCCTGCTGGGGAGAGCACGGCCCAGGTCTGCACTACAGGTGCACCCCAAGGATGAAGCTCGAACACATTTCTCCACACTAGACTAAAGCCTGAACTCTTTCACCTACAAAGGGAGGGGCTTGTGAAAATTAAATAGCACAGGTTTTGAAAATGCCAGAGATATACCAGTACAAACACTGACAATTATTGCTTCTACCACCAGTGTTCTGGGATAAGATTTCTTTTTACTTTTGACTCTGATATTATCCTCTGAAATTTCACACCAACTGAAACATGCATGGTATGCAATTGCATGTCTTGTAAAAATCTGGAAGCCCACATTCTCCTTTTCTCCATGAGCCACCCTGACAGGCAAACGGGACTGGAGGGGGCTGCCTGGCGAATGTCCACCTAACTTTACTCAACTCACTGCTGATGGCATGACAGACATGCTGAGTTCCCTGCATAGAACATGTGACTGGGAAGTATTTTCCTTTTGGGCCTTAAAAAGAGTGTGGGACGCTACTCCGTAGAAGGCTATTAGTCATTTAGGACGATTGTTCTGAGAGTTGCTCTCTGACCGTGGCCCTGTTACCACATAGACGCCTCACTGCCCATGTGAGTCCTAATTGCTTCCTTGTGTTCTTATAATTGTTACAATGACCGTTTGTCCTGGGCCACGTGTCCCACAACTACGGTGCAGGGAGAAGTTGCCATCTGGGGATTCACCAGAGAGAATGTGCCATTTAAAAAGACCCTGTGCACACTTGAATGATTCTGGGAGAACTTACTTTCTGCTCTAGTTAAAAGAAGAGAACTGTCCTTGAGTGTGTCTATGAAAAAGCCCTCTTTCTGAAACCAAAGTCCAGATTAGCACATAGATGCTGACAGAGAAACAATAATAATGAATATTACTGATAGTTATTAACATGACATTGTTCATGTTGGTATGTTGCTTCAGCAAGAATCTGCTTTTAATTACTGAGTATCAAAAATTGTTTTCAATACCTCCCATATAATAAAATTCTAACACATTTTTTTCTTTTTTCAATAAATAAATTTCTGAAGTACGTTCGATGTGATTAAATGAGTGGAATCAAATTATACATTATTATTAGACTTGATAGTTCTCATATTTATCATATAATTATTACTGGTCAAATCAAGTCTGATAAAGTATGATTTTTCAAACAATGATAAATCAATTTTTTAAAATTTCATATTATATATTTTGATATTACATGGACTCAAGCTATTTTTTCTGCACTAATTTTTCTATGCCATGTACTTTCAATTACTGGCCTTATTAGTTTCAACAATACTGTATCTCCAAACATGACATTGCATAAGGCTGACTATCAAATAAGGCCTCTGTTTCATCATACACTTGACTCATTTTCTGTTATATAATTTAAAATCAATGGAAGAATTATAAAGACTACTGAGAGTGGGCTGCTGGGGATGCCAATTGCATTTAGAGAATAAACAGGGCAAGAAAAAGAAATAATACTCATATTTTTTTCAAAGCAGTTTCACATTAATTCCCTCATCTGATCGCCAATAGAATTTACCTATCACGTTTGTAAACGCTCTGATTGCCAAATCCACCGGCACTGCGTAGAGCTTCCAACAAGCACAGAAGCTGAGGCTGGGCTCTTTCCTTTGCACCTGCCTGGCTTTCTGTGGCCCTCCTTAGCTCCACCAGTTTCCTCGTTTCTTTGATGTATTTAGCAGCATTAGCTGTTGTCCCAAAATGTCCCAATGAGTGCCTTCGTGTTTCTTTTTCACCTTTCTTTGGAAACCCATCACTTAAACTCCATCTTTGGGGAAAGAAACAGAGCTTACCCCAACTCTTTCTCCCCCTCAATCATCACAAAACCCTCTACCTCAAAACTGAGGACACCTTTCAGACATCACTTTCCTCCACAGCTTGATCTGTCAGGGACCTGCCCAGGGATCGTGTGCAGTGAAGTGGGGCATTCCAAGGACTGAGGCAGTGACATCTCTTTGCGGAATGCTGGGTAAGGAATCCTAGCAGTTACTGGCTTGTGAACTGCCCATTAGTTATTCATCGCTTTCACCTTTATGACAATAAAACAGGCTAATGATGCTTAGCTCATAAGGCTCCTCCTGCAATTTACATAGAAACAGGTGCTCTATATTATCACATATTCTTTGTCAAGATTTCAAGTAAGTGTCCTAAAACTTCCTTTGCAATTTGATAAAACAATTCTTAAGTACATTTAGAGTGAGATGCAAGTAAGCTTTGTGTAAGAAGGAAAAGAAATAGGAATCTGTGCTCCCAGGCGTGAAGGTCTTTTGTGGCTGTTGAAAATCATGTTCTACTGGTGAGGTGTATAAAACCCGGCTTCCTACTTTGCTAGGGACCCCGCTTCATCAAAGCAGCTAGATACAAGGGTCAACAGCTAAAAAAACTCATAGAACCTGACATAGAATTCTATTTATAACAATCATTTCACAAGTTGAGATGGCTGCAAGTCCAATCTGTTCACTGTCGGACCATTGATTACAGAACACTCAGAAACAATGGAAACCTCCCAAGTTAGGGAAGTAGCTGTGACCAGGATCCTTACACCCTGCTAATATACATGTATTGTTAAATCATACATTTTATAGAGCATGTATAGCAAAATAATTATGCATTAAAAACGCCATTTGAAGATGATCCCAACTATATAAAGATATGCCGAGAAGCAAGAAAACAAATCCAATAAATATGAAGGATGCCTGTCTCCATGTGGTACAATTAAGGATATTTTTTATTTTTTACACACTATTCTGTGTCCTGAATATTTTCTGCAATTTGCAGTTAACTTTTGGGGTGGGTTATTGACCTCACATTTGAAAAGTTTTATAACTTCACAACAGTTAATTTTCCAGGAAGGTTGAGGGATATTCAACCACTTGCTTGGTGTTTACTTCTAGAAACTAACAGTTTTCTATTTTGAAAATGTCCTCAGAAAATGATCAAATTAATTAAGAAATAAAGTATAACTGCTTTTTTTGTGGCTAAACTTTTTATCCACAATGTTTAATATTTCGGGCTTGCATCTACCAGGGAGTGGATAACTTCATGTCTATAGGAAATAAATTCACAATGGAATGTTTGGCCAAAATCTTAGAAAGAAAATATATTCTTCCATCCTAGCATGTTCCTCCCTTTTGAAAAGCTGCTATATATATATGTAGTATCTCAGCAAACAAACCAAAGGTGCTGTGTGATCTTTTACCTATATTTACACTTTTCAGTCAGAGGAATATGAGGAGGATCTTGGCCTTTAGGATTGAACAAGACAGAGCAACCTTGGAAAGGAAAACACTGAACAGACAAAGAAATGGAATGCACAGAAGTGGGAAGGCACCCAAGACTAGCCACTACTGTTGCTCCCAAGGGAACAAGCTCTGTGTGGCCAAAAGGGCTGCATCCTAAGCATGCCCATCAGCACGGCTCCTACAAGCCCCCCTCTAGCAGGGGCTAGGCCCCAGGCTGTCCCAGACCACCATCATTTGCTTCCTCACTTTTCTCCTCTGAACAGATCTGGAAAGGTCAGAGAGTCGAAAAAGTCAGGAAGAGAGATGGTTATGGACTTCAGAGGGTCCTCTGGACTCCCCAGCTAGAAGGCGTCTCCTCAGGCTGTTGCAAAGTCACTACATTCTCAAGACCTCCCCATGGTTTTACCCAGAAGCAGAGTGCAGCTTCTGTGCTGGAGTCAAATTTTACAGAAAGAGTGCCTGGCAACTTTTGTTCTGAAATTTAATTTCTTAATTACACTCCATCAACTTCAATGTACAATCCTTTTGATTAGCCAGAACCATTTTGAGAGGAGGAGGACAGAAGCATGTCACTGCCTCATAAGAACATTTATCTGGAATGTTGGTTATCACAAGTTTGATGAAAAAAGGTTCAGAATCGGCACACTGATGCTAAAAGGCAAGATGACAGCACTTAAAGGAACTGACAGTGTCAGTGCTCAGGGGTGTCCTGCAGCTCTGCAGACACACGTTCTTTTGGTTTCTGCACCTTCCTTCAGATGGTTACAGCTGAAAGCCTTTGGCTCAGTTCAAGACCACAGCGAGTCCTTGCCAATGCCACGTAGTGTGGGCTTGGCTTTACAGGCAAATTCCTTCGTATTATGGAATCAAGGAGGGCAGTGAAATGTTAAACATGGTCTTGTCTGACAAGCAGCAAATGTCCCCTTTGCCTGTGAACTTTGGAATTTCCTTTAAACCTGAGTAGGAGACACTACTGATCCTGAAGCCACTTCCATTTCTAAAAACACAATCTGCCTCTTCTCTCTGACTCACCTCTGAGACTCTACTGTTGGAGCAGACTTGCTCAGGGAGTAAGCATAGGGTAGGGAAAGGCTCCTGGTTTGTTTACAACAATTTGAAGGGTGTGGGGCTCCAAACAGCGCAGCAAAGTTTCTAAGAGGCACTTGTGCCCACAAAATCGCAAAACAAAAGCAAAGAGGATAACTCACCCAAAGTGACTGACTAAGTTCATGGAAATACAAAAGAGCAGGAGGTTTTTGATCATGATAAAGCTAGAGAACATCCCATTGTCCATTCCCGATAAGAATACCAGTCTGCGTAGATGAACTTGGAAGAATCACTGTTCCTTTCTCCAACTTGATCTTGAAGCTGCAAGAGACACAAAGGAGAAAAGCACATAAACACGAATGTTCTGCTTCACAGTCCCTGGAACCAAATGCTATTGCTAATAGCACAATTTACAAACAAAGGGATCAGGAGGTGCTTCCCCAGCAAGCTGAGCTTCAGGGAGGAGGGGGTATTAATGCCACTGGATGGAAGTTGGGGCATAGAAAGGGAGCTTCAGGGAGGAGGGGGTGTTAATGCCACTGGATGGAAGTTGGGGCATAGAAAGGAGTGATAATAGGGCTTAATTTGCACTTTCACTCACAAGTACAGAATCATTTTCCCAAATTAATGTCTCCATATCGCAAATATTTTGGTCTCCTTTTTGAAGCCATATTATCACTTCTTTCTATGCCCCAACTTACCATCCTGTGGCGTAACACCCCTACTCCCCCCATGTGCAGCTTGCTGGGGAAACACCTCTTGGTCCCTTTGTTGGTAAATTGTGCCATTATTATTATATGCTAATACTATCCAATGACCTGGTCCCATTGCTAGAATAAACGTTTTAAATTATTATCTAAGTAACTGCATTTTGCATCTGCCAAATCCACAAGTGGAATAAATTTACCTTTACGAAATATCTGCCACGCGTTCAAAGCCAGCAAGCTACTCCTTGTTCTGCAAGGTGCTGAGGAAAAGCATGTGGAAAGAAGGGGGAAAAGACACATATAAGACACTGGTCTTCTACAGAATCACGATCATATCACAACAGCTCTAAGTGAGAGTTGCCATTTTCTCAGCATTCCCTCCCCAAGACTGAATAACTTAATAATCACTGCATTTGGGGGAGTCTCCTAGCTGTCTGCTGGGTCCTAATCAATACCTCTGAAATCCAGGCAGGCACAGTCCCTGGGCTCTGCAACTAACCCTAGGAAGGCACATCTTTCTCAACATGCGCATAATGCATCCGTGCACTTGGTATCCCTCCACCGCGTGCTCAAAAGGAACATTTTCCAAGGAGACCCCAGAAAACTTCGGCATTGGGAGACACACAACAGGTACTTGCACCTCACAATGGAAAGCCCTTGTGTCAAATGGGCAGGGTGCCACGCGGTGGTCGCCTGGGCGCGTCCTGGGTCTTGTCGCCTGACCCGGGCCGGAGTCCTGGCGGAGAGCACGCGGCGCTGCATGCGGGAAACCCGGGCAACGCCTCCTCCTCGGTCAGCCCCGGGCCAGGACCCCCAAAGGGAGGCCGCGCTCCCGCTGTTCCCGGGCCGCCCCGGGGGCTTGCGGGCGCAGGTGGGCGCGGGGGCGGCACTGCGGAGCCGCAGCCTCGGCCCGGGGCTGGCCGGCCTCCCGCCGGGTCGGCTGCGGAACGCCGAGCGCCTCGGGCTCCCGGGCCCTCCCGCACCAGCTCCTCACCCTCTCGGACCCCCCCACCCCGCTTCTCCGCGGGGTCGGAGTCCAGCGCCCCGCGGGGCAGCGGCTTCCTCGGCCAGGAGAGCGCGGCGCAGCGGCAGCGCGGGGTACCCCGGCCCCTGGCAGCCCGCGCGCGGCACCCCGCGCCCACCCCGCAAGTCGTCTGGGACGCCGCACGCGTCGGCGCCCGGGCCTGGCGGGGCCCTCCGGGCGGGCCGTCTCGCCCCTTCGGTTCCAGGAGCCGCTGCAGCGGTGGCCCTCGCGCCCCCATCCCTGCCCGCGGGCGCGCGGGCGCGGCGCCGGGGTGTCCCGTCCCGCAGGGCTGTGCTGCCCGGGACGTGCCAGCCCTCCCGCGCGAGCCTCGGCCCGCAGTCGCCGGGGGAAAGTTTGAGCTCCGGGCCACCCGCCGCGCCCCGCCGGCTGTCCACCTGCCCTCCAGGGCCATGCAGTCCGCGGCTCGGGCGCGCGGGGGAGACGGTGCCGCCGAGCCCGGCTCGCTCGTCCTCTCCCCTCGCCCGCTCCGCCTTCCCCACTGCCCCGGCCCGGCGCGCCCTTACCCGGGAGGCGAGCCGTCGGCGAGGGTGCATCCTCCGCGGCCGCCGCCGCCTGCGCTCTCCCGGTGGCGGGCGCGGAAGGCCGGTGCGGCGTCACCGCCCCATGCTGCCGGCGCGAACTTGCCCCGTCCTCCGGGGCGCAGCGGATCGGGCGCCCCGCGCTCCCGCCGCCGCCCTGCGGCTCCGCTCTGCGCCGCGCCCGAGGCCGCGCGCTGCCCGCTGCAGAGCCCCCCGCGCCCCAGCGCACTCGCGCGCCCGCTCACCTCGCCCGAGCGCCACATGTCGTCTCCCGGTCCGGGCGGCGTGGCTCTGCGGCGGCGCTCCGGCAGGGGCCGCCACACTCTCAGCAAAGGCGCCCGCCGGCCCGCTCCGCCGAGGGGGAGGGCTCACGACCCGCGGCTCGGCCTGCTTCGGGACAGGCCCTATTTCTGCTGAAGTTTCTGGAGTGCCTCCGGGAGCATCCGTACCTCCTGGAGTAACAGCTGGGCTCCCAGTGCACACCAGAGGTGGAAAGGGGTGGCAGCCGACTGGAGCGCTTTCCTCTTCTAGGGCCTGGAGACCCCCAGGACCGGGAGACCTCTGCACCTGGCCCTGGCCCTTTCTCCACGCGCAGCACGCCTCTGTGGCTGCATCTCCTGTTCTTAGAAATTAGCTTCCAGACTCCTTTTTATCTGCAGTGCATTGCTGCAGAAGGGAATTAGCATCGGAGTCAGGTTTTAGAAGTAAACCCTCACCTTGTAGCACCATACATTTGGGGTTTTCTGAAGCTCCATTTCTTGACAAGAAGCTGCCATGTTAATAGCAAGGGGCATTGGGGTTTGCAGACCCAGAACGGGCCTGGGGGGAGGGCCTGGGGCACCGCGCTGCCCTCAGTACTCATCCAAGCGTGGGCATTATTATGTTGGCATTATTGTGTCTATCTCTGTCTCGGGGATGCAGTTGCTGAGAGGCGAGGGTGCCACTGATGACAACTGGGCAGGGAAATAAGGTCCCCTTCGGGTCGTGCAAACGGGGTGACTGCAAAGCCAAAGCCACTTCCTAATTTTAATTGCAGCAACTTTTTCCCTCTTATTACGAGGACCTCTTATTATGGATGCCTTGTTATGAGGAACACCCAGTAGGGAATGAGCAAAATTTAGAATAAAACCACCAAGAACATGATGACGTTTATACTGTTCGTCCATATCTTTGTGGAACTACTGTGAAATTGGGTGTAATCACTTTTGCCAAAATAATTATGAACAAGGCAATTTCTAACTGTTCTCCAAAAAGAATCTTTCGTCTTCCAGTCTACAAAATGTCTCTTGGTCAGTTATGTCTGATAGTGTGTTCCAAATTGAGGCTAGATGTTGATACTTCTACTTATTTCCACAACTGAAATTTTCCAACTATGAGAAATTGTAAATATATTTCAGGAATAAGATGTATATATAACTGTTGTACATATACAGGAAATAATACTCCAAATATATCTTTAGCCACAGAATTAAATAATTGTTTTTCTAGACATTTACATGACATAAAAATTAGATAAATGCTCATTTAAAAGGTTTTCGGATTCTAAAATGGATGAACACATGCATTTTTTTCTCTTTCAAATTCTAAGAAGACCTATCACTAAGATAAACTTCATGAACAGTCAAACCATTAAATTAAAAGCTATCAGCATTAACTTAAAATAATTTTCACCTATTAGGTGTTTAAATTCCAGATTTAGAGAGAGTAATGAGAGGTACTCTTCTCTTGGGATTAATGCGCATAATGGCAACCAAAGAGTTCAAATAACTAGTGAATTTAAATCTTCGCACATTATCACATCAGGCTTTCAGTATTTTTAACAAGAAGTGTAGGTAAACCAGGGATTACTATTGGATTAGTTAGTTATAGACATTAATTATTAACAATAATCCCTTCAGATGTCATTGACAGATAATGAAATAACTGTGGGTGGATTAACGTTCTTTTGATAAATTATTTTTTTCATTTTCATGGTTTTTTGGTATGCATTCTAACAGTTCAATTTCAACACAAATTACTGAACATATGAAAATTATCTTAAGTAAGACCTATTCTTTAAAACTGTGCTTAAGCATGTGACTCGAATGCGTACCCCTGCCTGTATGGAATGGTGATCTAATTTCTCATCTTAATATTTATGAATATATAACAGGCTCCAGGCACTCGGTCTGAGAGGATCCTGAAATAATAATGGTATATCAGCACTTGATAGACATTCACAGATCAGAACAATATTTGTTACCAGTTCAATAGTGTTTGTTTTAATATGGAACACAGTGTTTGCCCTAAGAAATAATGGTCTATCAGCTGAATTCCCATTGTTCCACTAGCATTTCCCTTTTATTGAATGAAAGCAAGCAAAGTAGTTATATTTCTGGAAAGCAGTAGAGGGCACCCTAGTTCCACATATCCCTTGTCTTGAACCAGTCTGGACAAGAATTTATTTTCTCGTGTGTGGGTCTACAGTAGTTGAACTGGGGGAAAGTGGGAACTAGGTGGGACCTAGAGAACCTCTTTGCCCGACCCAGAACAGGAAAGGGAGGCTATGTTGTGTAGGTGCTGGTGTAGGGATGGCTGAAACAGGAGAAGTGGTTTCCCCACAAGAAAACAGAGTTTGGGGAATAGTTGAAAGGGGATGCCCTACGCTGAGAACTCACTTGTGGGTCTGCTAAACTTAAGCAGCCTGTTCGGCTGCCATTATCGTTACCTGCAGTTCTGCATTCCTATACAAGGTCAGAACGGCCCTTCAGAAATGGTCAATCAGCCATAAGAGCCAAACCTTACCAGGTGCCTTTCATATCAATCACGAGCAAAAAGCTTGATCACTCTAGGAAGGGTGTGCATCAAGTGGTATGATCGGGAACACCTGGGGGAATGAGGACGATGCATAAACTTACTCCCACCTCACACATCATGAGGTATGACTGGAAACGCCCGGGGGGCCGAGGGCCAAGGGCCAAGGGACCCCAGAAACTGATCAGTGGAATGCCTTGTTGATCAGATTGGGACCATGACTGGGGATCTGGGGTTTGGTTTCGATGACAACACTTGGTCATCAAGCTGATAACATGGTCAGCAGACTCGTGTCCCCCAAGACCTGGATAACATTCCTGAGTTTCACCCATCCTTTCTCCTTGTCCTCCTAACCCATGTAGCTGATGCTGTATGATTATTCTATCAATAAAAACAGCCAGGGTCTTGCTCTCAAGCAGCATCCTGCATTATGTAGCCTACTCCACGACTCCCGTGTCTTTGTCAGTGTGGTGTTGCCAGAAGCAACACTCACTCTTGGAGAGTAAGGCATTGCATGCTGCTGTGTGTAATTTTGTGTTAAAGGAGAATTAAGCATGAGTAAAGATAGCAAGAGTAAAGATAAGACAGGCACACAAAGCTCAGATACAGGTAGACAAAGACACAAAATATGGAGGCAAGAACTTAACTTCCCACTGCAAGAAAGGCGCCCTCTTCAATAGTTTTGTTGGTTAAAAGAAAGATATGATTCTAGAAAAGATTGACTCTGATGGCTATATGCAGAAAAAGCACTGGAAGTTGGTGGATCCACGTTGAAAGTGTGTATGATCATCTAAGGCCAACCAGCTTCGACATTGAATAAATGCTTGGGTTACTTCATTAATGGAAAGACAGACTTATTCACTCATGTATTTAAAGCAGATCCCAAACTGAACGAGGGGGTCTTGGTTGTTAATAAAACAGAAAGGCCAAGAAGAGAGAATTTCTAGGAAAAAAATGTCAATTTATTGGACACTGAAAAAGAACAGAAAATATCAGAAAGGGTAACACAGAACAGGAACAAAGGTAAGATGGTACAGAGCACATTAAGTAGCAAATACTCCATTCACCGACTCACACTATATATTGTAAATTCATTCTTTTATTTTTCTACCTTATTAAAGCTCTCATTAATCACCTGAATGTTACATATAAACTACAGACATGTTTTAATTTGTGGGCACTATTTAAAAATAGTGACTATACTTAAAAATGAGAAAACTTCACAGAAGTATTATAAGTGAGTGAAAGAATACTCCAGATTTCTGAGTTTGCTAAAAGGAGAGAACATAAAAGGCAGATCTAGCATGAATTTTATTCTTATTCTCTCACCTCACCCTTACCTATTTATCCTAGACCTATTTATTCCAGAACAAGGTAACCTCTTTTTTTTTTTTATTTTAGTAGTTTCAATACAAATATTTCTTTTTTTCCTCATGGCAAAATATTTAATTTATTAATTTTGATACAACTTTTTTAAATGCAGTGAGATTGGTTTACAGCACTCTAAATGATTTGGACCAATAGGTTCACACTTCTATGTTACCACACCACACCCACCACCAAAACACCCATCTTACTCCATTACAGTCCATGGGGCCCTCTCCCCCTTGGTGCCTTCCCCCCCACCAGTAGCCTCTATTCTGCAATCCTATTTCTAGATTTGTTTTCTTTTTCACATTTTGCCTGCTCCCTTCACTTATAATAACTGATAAATAGAAGCACCTTAGATTTTTAAAAAATATTTAATATTTTGATTCCTCTTTATCTCCATTGTTGGCTTGATTGGTTATATCTATTTTATTTTGTTTTACTAGTTGAACTGGTTGCTTTCAATTCTCCCTATATATTGGCAGAATATACACACACACACCCAGAAATGGAACTGCTGAATGATAGAATTATTTTATGTTCATTTTTTGAGTAACCAACAGCTTTTCTTCAGTGGATACACCATTTTACATTCCCAAGAGCAAGGGTTTCTAATTCTCCACATTCTTTCCAGCATTTGTTTTCTGCTTCTGTTTTGTTCATTATAATAGCTGTCCTAAAGGGTTTATAGTGATAGCTCATTGTTGTTTTAATTTGATTTCCTGAACGATTAGTGATGCTGGGCATCTTTATCTTGTGCTTATTGGCCATTTGTATATCTTCTTTCCAGAGGCATTGATTCAGGGTCTTTGCCCATTTTTGAAATGGCTTTTTTGTTTTTTGTTGTTGAATTGTAGGAGTTTTTTTTTTTTAAGATTTTTTTTTTTTTTTTTAATTTACGCATATGAGAACCCGGGCCCAGGCCAGAGCTATACGGGTGAGAGGATTTATTGAGACAAGTGGGGAGCACAACAGGGAGACTGACTGCAGTGGGTGAGACAGGAGAGGTCTGCTGCTCCATGTGAGTAGCTCTCTGGCTGGGGATAGAACTAGTGCAGGAGTGGATGCTTAAAGCTTGGTAGCACTGAAACTTAACCCTTATGCCACCAAGGAGGGCCAGGAGTTTTTAGATAATCTGGATATACTCTTATTGGGTATATGATTTGAAAACATATTCTCCTATTCTGTGAGTTGCCTTTCTACTCTGTTGATACTGTTCTTTGATGCAG